AATAATAAAAAAAAAAAAAAATAAAAAAAAAAAAAAAAAAAAAAAAAAAAAAAAAAAAAACAAGTGTGGAGGAGGGAGAACGGTCTTATGTAGAAGTAGAAGGTTTTTCCATAAGGTGACATTGTCATTTCTTTTAATTTTTATTGATTGAGATTCACTCTTTTATTGTTGGGAAACAAGTTATATAGCTTATATATGACATACCTTTTTGTCATGTGGATATCAATGTTATTTTTTTCTCTTTTAAGGCATTGAGTAGTACATTGACTTGAGAAAAAAGAATATAGACAAAAATGGAATAAAATTTGATTCCATTATGTCTTTCCTGTGTATGAAACAAATTTGGCAAATATTTATTTTCTCTTGTTGTCCTGTCATTTGTCATACCCTGCTCTACACTGTTAGTAGTAGCAGTATAAGGAGAGTTTAACTAAGTTTTTATAATAACCTGATATCACATCCTTCTTTAGTTCAATGTGGCAGTCATTTTTTTCTGTTTAGCTTTCTGTTGTTTCAGCGCTCTAAATTTGTCAAGATAGCACAGTGAAAAGATAATAACTCATAAGTGAATAGTCTTCAATGTTATTTGTAGATATAGTATAACTATTACATGCTTTCTATATATTTGCAAAAGAGAAGAGATAATTTTTATAGCCTGTTATTGATTGCTACCTCATACACTTTTAAAGAAATATTTCCTTTATTTTACTGTATCCTTCATTATAACATTTCTATAAAGTTATCTATCTTAAAACCATTTAATTAAGAGCAGAATTGATGCTCATTTAAGAAAGATGATCTCTTGGACCTGTTCACAGAGAAAATAATCATGTGAGACTAGTCTTTCTCATCTGAGAAAGATAGATCCTCTGAAGGGCCTGGAATTTAGCTCAGTGGTTCTGCCACCTGCCTTGCAAGTGCAAGGTCCTGAGTTCAATACCTGCTACCAAAAAAACAAAAGATGGATCATCCATACTTTTGCTTTTATTTTCAAAAGCAGAAAATTGAGAAATCAAATTGAAAATGTGTATAAGGTAAAAATTAAGTCATCTCTGATTTTTATTGATAATATTACTTTTACTGTCATTAACATGCAGATGGCTTCATGAACAAATTAAATCCTAGATTTGGTAGTTAGTTGAGTTCAGAAGTATACATAGTATAAGATTTTACATCCTGGAACAATTCACTGATTGGAAATTAACTTTCTGTTTATTGTTTTTTTGGCAGGTAACAAATCACAAGACAGTGGCATAGCAGAGATGGAAGAACTTCCTGTACCACATAACATCAAAATAAGCAATATTACATGTGACTCATTTAAGATTTCATGGGAAATGGATTCAAAGTCAAAGGACCGTATTACACATTATTTCATTGACCTCAACAAGAAAGAGAACAAGAACTCAAATAAATTTAAACACAAGGTAAAAATCTAACACATACTTAACTCTGCTTGCATTTTAAGAAGTTTCTAAGTATGAAGAAATTTTAAAAGAAAGAATAATGTTCTAATAATAATTTATATGGTTTTTGACATTGGGAACAATTAAAATGTGATTTGAGACCCCCATCCCGCTAATAAATTTTAGAAGAAAATGAAATGCCATGTTTATTGTTAAAATATTTTAAAATGTAAAATTGTGACTGTCATACAGATATAAAATTCATCATGTTAAATTAGATTTCACTTACATCATGAAGAAACTGATGAGGTATTACAAAGGAAATTAAAGATTTCACCCCTTCTTTACTTCACACTTAAAATACCATATCATTGAAAAGGTAGTGTATATTCAGCTAGATTTTTAATTATTTTATTGTTTAGAAATACCTCAACTTTTCTATGACACATATACTCTATGCTTGAATAAAAGTGAAGAAAATATTACCTATATATGTATATGAGATTATTTTAAATATTTATTTTAAAAGTGTTCTTGCACATAAAAAATACTTAGTAATAAGCTTTCTGGTGAATTATAAATTACACCAATAAGTCTTTTAAAATTAAATCTATTGAATTTTATCTCTTTCATATCTATTTCCTTAAATTTTATCAGTTAGTATTAGAATGATATACTTTGAGAAGCATGTTATACAGAGAACACCAATATGCTAGAAATTAAGAAAATTAGTATCCAAGAACATTTATGCCATTGGATTTGGCTGTATGACCTTGGGTACATCTCTTGAACAAGTTGGATCTTTGTTTCTGGATAGGGAGAATAAGAGATTTTAAAATAATTGTCAATTATTCTTAAACAGAAAAGTTCTATTGTCAGCCAGGAATATAAGTTCCTCTCCATTTCTTTGTTTGTTTGTTTTTTGTACTGGAAATTGAACTCAGGACATTGCACTTAAGAGGCAGGTGATGGAACTACTGAGCTAAATCCCTGGCCTCCCTTCTCCATTTCTATTTTTTGGTACCGAGGATTGAACTCGAGTCCTTGCGCTTGCAAGGCAGGCCACTAAACCGCTGAGCTAAATCCCCGGCCCTCCATTTCTTATAATTGATTATAGTTTTATGTCTTACCCTTCCTCTTTCCCTTTTTTTCCTACCTTTTCTTCTTTTACTTCTTATGCTCCCTTTTTTCCTTCTTAGGATGTTCCAACAAAGTTGGTAGCAAAAGCTGTCCCCTTGCCTATGACTGTCCGTGGACACTGGTTTTTGAGCCCAAGAACTGAATATACAGTTGCAGTTCAGACTGCCTCAAAACAAGTCGATGGTGATTATGTTGTATCTGAATGGAGTGAAATTATAGAATTCTGTACAGCAGGTAAGAGAACTAGGTACATATACAGTAAAAACAAAACAAAACAAAAACCCTTAGATAATTGTGTCTGGAAAGCTAATTACTGAAAAAAAAAGTTTTTGTAGTTAATAGGTAAATGAATATGCCATTGGTCATTTTTGCTTTATCAGCATTATGTAACACAATAAACAATATTGCAGTTATTTGTGAGAACTGAGATTCTCAGTAACAGAACTTGTGATGACATCAAATCACTTTGTTGCATACAGTTTCAAAATAAAGTTGATAAAATTAGAAAATTATATACTCAGCATATTTTGAGCCTTATTTTGTGAGGGAGCTTTCTTTTATTCTTTTACTTTCAGTCTGTCCATTTTCACAGACATTGAGAGGAGGAAGACAGGAATATAGTATCTTTCTTTAATTTCAGGGAATGGAGGCAGAGCTCAATAACTGTGTATACTAGAAACGTTATTGGACTTTTCACTTGCGTGCTGGAAAAACTTAAGAAAATCATTTCTAAACTAGTGTATACCTTTGTATGTCTTTGCTTCATTAAAAAGTAGCTTCATAGTCACCACTGGGAAATGTGATGTGAACTATACTTTAATATTTGAGTATTCTAATATTTCCTTTGCAAAATATTAGTTCACCACCTTTATCTGTTTCTTTACTCATTCATTCAAGAAGTACACATTTATTGAACATGTAGTTGAGTACTTATGCCATCCTCTTCTTTTGTTTCTTAAAATGGTACTTTGCCTCTTCATCTAGATAACTGTTTCTATAAAAAAAATAATTGTAGAAGGCAAGGGATTTAGCTCAGTGGTGCCACAACCTGCCTCCCAAGTGCAAGTCCTGAGTTTGATCCCGGGTACCAAAAAAAAAATAATAATAATAATAATGATGATAGTAATTGTAGAGAGGCTGTTTCAACACACTAGAGCTGTAGAAAAAGTAGTTTTTAAAAAGTTGGCATCAGCTATTGCAGATTGCTTAGCAACTTTTGCCAGCTGAGGTATCCATCAGATAAGTTAGTTTTCCTATAGTTCATACTTGCATTATTATCTTAGAGTCAGTGCATGTTTAACTACTGCTTTATTATCAGTATCTTGCATTGTTTTTTCATCTCAAACTCAGCATAAAACTTCTATGGACATGTTAAATGGATAAAGTTTTAATTCTATGTCATAGTGATTTTTTCTTTGCATATTCTATGATTAAATTGCTAGCTAATGAAACATCCTTAATTATTAAAACTGGTATCTACATAGTAGCCTATTTCTTTATGTTTCTCTATCTTCAGTTACAGACTATAAGACCCAACATTTTATGTATCAATACTATAAATAGTTCAAAATAAACTGTGAAACGCTATTTTTATTACATCTTGTTAGACAAATGTGAGAGATGTTAAAATGTGAAAAATGGGTTTCTAAAGTAGATGAAAATGTAGTATTAATCACAGTGATGAAATAGCTAGATGTTAACAATGAGTAAAGAAGTCTTACTAACTACCTCTGTTTGAGGTATCATTCAAATTAGTATTTCATCTCAGTGTTTACTGAATCAAAATTCTTTTTTGAGATTTATATCCTGTTTACTCTTTTTCCTTTCTTTTCATTTTATCCTACCAAGGAAGTTTAATCTATATGTAAGACACACAGGCACAATCTCTTTTGATATTTTGTTGGAGGCTGAATATCCATAATCTGAAAATACAAAACTCGAAATTCTTTTAAATTTGAGACTCTTTTGAATTCTATGATATGACACATTATATTTTCGAATTTTAGAGCTTTTTTTTTTATATTTTGCAGTGTGAATACACAGTCAATAAAAAGTATGTGCACATATTTCACAATCCAAAAATTCCTGAAAGCTGAAGCATTTCTGATCTCAGGAATTTTGGATAACTTGGGTCTTGATCTCTTTCTTGTTGCTGGGACAAAATACTGAACTTCCATAACTTAAAGTAGGACGGTATATTTTGGCTCACATTCTCAGTCCATGGTCAGCTGGCTCCAAGGCAGAAATGGCATGAAAACTATGGAAATCAATATGGAGATAGCTCAAAGAGCTGGGATTAGAGGTTCCATTTGACCCAGGCATCCCTCTGCTGGGTATCTTTCCAAAAGAATTAAAAGAACATACCACAATGATATATGCACACCCATGTTTATATCAGCACAGTTTGTAATAGCTAAAACTTGGAAACAGCCCATTTCCCCATTAGTTGGAGACTGGATAAAGAAGATGTGGTTTTTCTATACAATGGAATATTACTCAGCCATAAAAAATGAGAAATTAGATTCATTCATAGGAAAATAGATACATATTGAGGATATACTAAGTAAAATAAATAAGTCACACATGTGTAAATACCAAATAGTTTCTCTGTTGTGAAAAACTATAATTGTACATAAGATCCTAATGGTATAATTGACAACGTGAAATAGGAAGAGAAGGGCTAAAGGGTAGGGGAAGTGAGAAGGAAAGTGTAGGGAAAAGGAAATAAGGGAAAAGAAAAAAAATATGAGAAAATGAAAAAATGGAAATAAAGTATTTGTAAATAGGGAAGGGAGGAGGGGGTGAAGGGAGGGCAGGGATAAGAGGAAAAAATGAGAACCAAGACCTGTCATGTAAAGGTACAAGATCCCAATGATGAATGTAACTGTACTGTATACCCAAAATGTACCAATAAACTCAATGAGAAAAAAAAAACTGCCTATGTGGTGGCTGCTAGGAAGTAGAGAGAGAAGGGACAAGATGGGAAGGTATATACCTTTCCAGGACACACCCCTGTGGTGAGCCTCGTGAACCAGGCCCCAGCTCTTAACAACACATTCCTCTCCATGACCCAATCACCCGCCCAAAGCCCAACTTCTGAACACATGAAGCTTTTGAGGCACATTGTAGAACTAAGCCTTAATCACTTTAACAGATGCAGTTTTTTTTGTCATGATTACATGAAATAGTATCATGGTATTTGCTTACTAAAAATTTTACCTACTAAAACCCCACTTGACATTGGAAAAAAGTATAATATACTATTTCTTCTTTAGCTTAAGGGCGATATTTAGAATTTCCAGTTGAAAAATATCTATCTGCGATAGATTTGCATCCTATAATTCTCCGAAGAAAGTTACAGAGTAAATGATAAGGTGAAATGTCAGCTTTTAAATGTACAAGTTATTTTTCTATAAGTTTCATTGTCTTTTTATTTTCATGGGTAAATTTAAGAGAAACTTAAGCTGTTCAAAGTTCAAAGTTTTTTGAGCATATCAGAATATCTTACCTTATGTAAATTTTGAGAAAGCTATTTTGTATAAATTGCCTTTTAAACTGGACATTTAACTCGTGCAGTATTTAGTGAACCCATACTGTGAGCTAAACACAAGGTATTGGAAATTAAATAAAATAGAATACCACAAGCTAATTCATTTCTATTATAGTTTGTAACAGAAATGACACCCAATACACCCCATAATAATACCATCATTAAATATATATGTTTCTTCTTTAGACTGTCAGTTCTTTGAAAGGAACAGTAATAAAGTTTAATTTTTTTTATCATCTAAACATCAAATTTTGCATATTGCTTGGTACATTGTATGTTCTAATCTAAATAAATGTTTGAGTCAGTGATGCAGTAAGAAAAAAAACATGTTGCCAATGTACACTTTAACAAGGTTGGTCTGTTTGGAAAGTTTTACTAAGGTTTATAGACCAAAGTTTTTCCTTGGTTTCTGACAACAATTCTCAAGCAATTTTCAAATCAAGAAGTTGATGAAAAAATTACATTACTTTGACAGTTGTATTAAATTTTTGGAAGCTTTTTGTACCCAAAGGACATCAACCTGGAGCCAGGGGTCTAGTCTTGAAGTCATTGGACATATGAAAACTGGGCAAAATCATTAAATTTGTACAAGGTTGAATATCTTCATCAATAAATTGGCATATTTAATCATTTCATCAACCTTTGAGGGTTAGAGAATAAATTACATGAGCATTATTATTATTGCTTGTGGATGATAAACTTCTTATTCAGTTTATCAACTGGCTGAGGAAAAGTTGGTAAGGTGCCGATAATTCATTTGTGGATTATGAAGAGTAACTGAACATGTTTGTTCAAATATTTTCAATTCCAAAGAGTGAAAAAATGCAAGTATATTCTAAGAAACAACTGTAAACCCTAAAAAAAGAAATTTGTAGAAAGAAAAATGTGCCATACAATGTGTGTTTTATTTATAAACAATTTCCTAGTCACTAAGTTAATTTCTTAGTAGTGAATTTTAATAATAACCAATTTATTAAGTATGCAGTTAGCATTTTGGTGCCATATTTTACTAACAAATTTTTTTGAAAATTTTCAGACTATTCAAAAGTTCATCTAACACAACTGTTGGAGAAGGCTGAAGTGATTTCAGGACGTATGCTTAAATTTTCTGTTTTTTATCGTAATCAGCACAAAGAATATTTTGACTATATTCGGTAAGAATAAAATATATATAGTTATTTGTGTACTAAGTCTGATTCTAAATCAAGGCTCATATTTCCTTTGATTCTAATTCTGCCAAGTTGCAATTCCAAGTTTCTTTTTGAAATAATTATACTTTTTTCCTAGAAAAAAAAATCAGTAGAAAAATTCGTATCGTGAGATTTTTCTCATTTAGATTCCTTTCCATAACCATATAATAATTTCTGTTTGTTCCAGTGCAGTAGATCTTAAACCACTGGTGTTTAGATTGGTAAGCATTTACTGTGTATATTTCTCCAATTCTCAGTGACTCAGATGTCCTCTTGCATTGACTGCTAAATTTTCACCTCTTTCTGTGGGTCCCTTTAAGATACTAAAAATGTGAGAAAAAAGATGACTATTTCATGAAATATTGTGGGAAATCAGCTGGGATTTGTACAGTTCTGCCTAAGTAGAAATCACTTAATTATTATCTCCAATTATTTATGAAGACAGTTGTCTTTACTTTTGAATTCTAGTGATAGTTGACTAATATTTTAGGCCTATATATTTGATTCCTTCAAATGGTTTGTAAGAAGTTAACAGCACTTTATTCTATATGCAGTTTTAATATTGCAGGACTTTCATATTTGAAGAGAAAGATTTAAGAGGATAAATAGGCAGATGTGTTTTAAAGTGAAACTAAAGCTTTCAAAAATGACAAGTGCTGTATTGGTTCTAAATCTTTTACACAGCCATTCCTATAATTTGTCATTTAAAAAAATCTTGGTCTCATTTTAGACTTTCAAGAATTCTTAGACAGGAATGCATGTGAAAAAATTAGAAAGCTTTGATGTTCTTTTTTCATATTTCTGTAGTTTCTCTTAAATCAAGATCGTGGTTTCAATTTTATGTCATGTCTGAGATGTGAAAAGTGCAGAATAAATTATAGAGATTTAGGCTTCTGTGTTCTTTAAATGAAATACTCTGAAATATCATATATTTTAATATATTATGTTGAAAAGCAAGTCTTTTAAAAATTATAAATGTATAGCTTAGTCCGTCATTCTCTTCACTGGGAAAGTATCTACTCTGGAATCTTTTTATTTATTTATTTTGTTTTGTTTTGTTTTTTGGAATCTTTTTAATTAATGGCATATATCATTCCCCTGATTACAGAATACAAATTAAACAATATTGGGAGTCATGCTTGACAACTCTTAATTGGGAATGACTATGTGCAGAAAATTTTTTTATATTTGTTAAGCAAAAATTTGAAAACCAAAAAATTTCCACTATTGCTGTTGTCTTGACAAAGAAATATATCAAGTGAGATGAATTGTTACATCTTTGGTGCTTGGTTTAAACTCCTGGAGCATCACCAGTGTCTGTTGTAGCGGGCCACTTGGGGTCAGTGTTTCTCTATGATTTTCTGTGTCCCTCAAATGAAAGCTGGTGTTCATACTCCCAACTATTCTCAAAAACACTTCCCAGAAGAAACAGATAAAAACAAACGCTTATAATATGGATAGTTATTTTATACATTTCATGATTTGATTCCAGGGACTAGCATGAAAGATGTGTTAACTACCAAGGAAATTTACCTGTGATTGATTTTTCCATGAGAGTAGTAAAATCTGTGTATACTGTATATTTTTTAAAAAAAATTAGTGCATGTTAGTAATAAAGAATAGTGATGCTCACCTTGAGGAACTGTTACATGAATATAACATACCTTAAGTAAATTATATCTTTAACAAAGCAATACATATAAATAAATATACTTACCAAGGCATGCGGACAGTTTTTTTTTTTTTTTTTTTTTTAACATATTAGGGACCTTGGGATTCAAGGAACAATACAGGGTTGAGTTCCCTGAGTTTTATCTTTTAATTCTGATGTCCGGGACAAGGTTCAAGCAAAAAACACAAATGGGCACAAACAACAACAACAACAAATACCGCAGAAAGTTGTCTTGCTTTATTTACCCAACCAAGTAGGAAATGATACAGATATCTAGAGAATGACCATCCTATTCCAGCCCAACAAGTTTTTTTCTGAATGACATCATCTGAAACCCTAGAGGCAAGAAAAAGGAGCACAATATTTTCAAGTGATGAAAGAGAACTGTCACCCCAGAATACTATATCCAGTGAAAAGAATATATCTTGAAACATTAGAAAGAGCAACAGAGTAAAATACAAGATCCATTGTAGGATACCAAACTGTAATTATTTCTTATGTCTCCTTGTTTGTATCTGTGACAGTTTCTTTTTTCCCTGAATCTACATTTTTAATAAGCTCCCAAAGTAGTTTTCACGTGATAAAATTTGAAATCCATACCTGTTCTAAATCCAGTGGCAGATCATGAGCACACTCTACTGACTCACAAACTCTTTTAAGAAGCAGAAGGACTGAAGCACCCTTCTTTCACTTGAGTGGTAGTTTGAACATTTCATTGCAAGTTATGCTGGTAGGAATCTCAGAAGAAAAAGAAGATACACTTGGGGAATACTGAAGAGAATTTAAACTGCCATTCACAAAAGTGTAGGCAGCATTAAGGCAACTAAAAAGGAACGTTGAAGCAACCAGGAAATACTGAGTTGAAGAGTTTTACTATCCTTGGGACTGGAAGGAAGTCAGCTAGCAAGAGCACTAGACACATATTAGGGTAGAAGAACTGAGCCAGGTCACAGCTACAGACACTGAAGCATGGAGCAAGTAGAGAAAGACACAACCAGGGCTTGACCTCCTTGTATCCTAGATCTGCTGGGCCTCACACTGGTGTAACTGAAATAAGAGACCAAACAAAGAACTGAGTGACAGAGTCTCAGGCCACAGTGAAGACAAAAAAGGTAGAGCATGGGTCTGGGGGTGAGGTAAAAGGGAAATAACCAGTGCTCTTTACATCAGAACATAAGAAATAATCTGATTAGCAAACTAATCCAGGATTAAAAAATAAACAGGATTTAACTCCTCTAAAAAATAAACTGTTGTTAAAAATATAAATGGATAGCACTCATTTTTTGCTTTTTGCTTTTTATCTTTAATTTGACTAGTTGGATTTTACTTTTAAAGTGCATACCTTAATAATTTCTTTGATAGAAGTACCATCAATTGATTTCCCCATAACAAATAAGCTATAATGTATCTTCTTATTTTAAAAGTTTTTTAGAGACATTTGTATACCTTCATGGAATACATTTTGATAATTTAATATATGAATACAATGTGTAACCATCTCTTCAAATATTAATCTTGTGTATCTGTTGGGAAAATCTACTCTTCTAATTATTTTGAAACATCATCATTTTATTCAGTAGTTACTGTATTGTGCTCTAGAAAAAAAACGGAGCTAAATCTTTTCTCTGTATTTTGGTGCTATTTATTGAATTTTTTTCTCCCTCTCCTCCTGTATTTTCCTTTCCCAGACTCTAGTGACCACTATTCCATTCTGTTCTTTTATACGATTGACAAATAGTTTTCATAAATACATGAGAATATGTAGTGTCACCTCCAGTTTCATCCATGTTACTAGTTTTTAATAATGCAACTTGCTTTTCATAATGACTGCACAAATTTATATTCCCATCAACAGTGTATAAATTCCTCTTTCTCTGCATCCTTGCCAGCATGTATTGCCTTCTTAATGATAGCTCTTCTACCTGCAAGAGATATTTTATTTTGATTTTTATTTGCACTTCTCTGATAGTAATAGTGAGCATTTTAAATATATAGTACTTCTTGGCCATTTGTATTTCTTTTGAGGACTGTCTCTTAGTGCCTTTGCCCATTTGTCTAATTAAGTTTTGGTTTGTTTCTAATTAAGTTTGTTTGTTTTTCATGTTTAGCTTTTTGAGTTCCTTATGTATTTTGGATACTATGCCTTTGTCTGATGAATATTTTACAGATATTTTTCCCATTCTATAGGTTGTCTCTTAATTCTATTATTTCCTTTGCTGTACAAAAGCTTCTTAATTTGATATAATACCATTTGTGTTTATTTTTGTTGCCTGTGGCTTTAGGATTTTATCTGAAAAGTCATTCCCTACCCCAATATGTTGAAGTGTTCCCCCCTATATTTTCTTGCTGTAATCTCATAACTTCATTTATATAGTTTACATTTAGGTATTTGATCAATTTTGGATTGATTTCCAAATCTCACTTCATCCCTTTTTATGTGCATATGCCATTTTGCCAGCATGATTTTATTGAAGAGATTATCTTCCCTATTCTAATTTCTTGACAGCTTTTTTGAAGATTGGTTGTATAAATGTTATTAATTTCTGGATTCTTTATTCTATTTTGTTGGTCTACATATCTCTTCATACCAGTACCATGCTATATGGGTTGCTGTAGCTTTGTAGTATGTTTGGACATTGGCTACTGTGATGCCTCCAGGTGTGCTTGTTTGTTTGCTCATGATTGCTTTGGCATTCTGGGTCTTTTTTTGTTTGTTTGTTTGATATGAATTTAAGAATTTTTTATTTGTATGAAGAAAGTCATTGGTACTTTGATGGAAATTACATTGAATTTAGAGATTTGGGGGAGTAGTGTGGCCATTTGCACTATTAACTCCTCTAAAACATGGGATACCTTTCCATTTTTTTGTATCCTCTATAATTTATTTCATTAGTATTTTAAAATTTTTATTGGAGAGATTTTCAGGAGAGATTTTCACATCTTGGTTAAAATTATTTCTAAGTACTTTATTTTGTAACTATAGTGAATGAGTAATTTTTTCATCAAGTTCATTATTGATATATTAAAATGCTATGCTGTTTTTTATATTGATTTTTGTATCCTGCTCCTTTACTGAATTTGCTTTTCAGTGCTAACAGCTCTTTCAATGGAGTATTTAAGTTTCTCTGTTATAGAATCATGTCTGCAGACATGGATGTCCTTAATGTTTTATTTTTAATTTTTGGCCTAATTTCTCTTGTTACGATACCTAGTAGAGTATTAAATAAGACTGTTGAAAGTGGATGTCTTTGTCTTGTTCTCAATCTCAAAGGAAATGCTCAGCTTTTTTCAAATTCATGCAATATTCTCTGTGAACTTTAGTCTTTAGTATTTTGAGATATGTTCTTCCTATACCTAGGAAGGGATGTTGAATCTTACTGAATGTTTTATTACATCTGTTTAAATGATCAAATAGTCTTTGTTGTTCATTCTGTAGATATGTCACATGATATTTATAGGTTTGAGTATATTGAACCATCCTGTATCTTTGGGATGAACTGTATTTGATCATAGTGTAAAATATACTGTTGAATTTGGTTTGCTGCTATTTTGAGAATTTCTGCATATATGTTTATCAGGAATAGAGATCTGTCATTTTTCCTTGTTGTTATTGTTCACTGGCAATATCATTCTATTCTCTCTAGCCCTATATATTTTCTGCTGAGAAATCTACTGTAAGTCTAATAGACTTTCTGGTTATATGTGACTTGCTTCTTTTTACTTGCTGTTTTCAGGAGTCTATCTTGTACTTTTGATGTTATGACTGTGATATGCTTTAGTGAAGATCTATTTTGGTTGAATCTAGTTTGGGTTCTTCGAGTTTTTTTTTAAATCTATTTTTGTTTTGTTTTTCCGGTACCAAGGATCAAACTCAGGACTGCGCTTCACACGCATGCACAGCCCCACTGAGCTACATCCCTGGCCCAAGCTTCTTATATCTGGATGTCTCTCTTTAAAAATTTGGGAAACTGTCAGCTGTTATTTCATTAAGTAGATTTTCAGTGGCTTTCCCTCTTTTCTTCACTTTGCTTTCTTTAGGCTCATTATGTTGGTTTTATTTTCAGGCATTTCAAATTGTGATCTATTTCTGGAGAAATACCGTTTTCCTTTGGAGGTACCTAGTTCCCTTTCATATTCATTGTGTCCTTATGTTGCTAACTGATGTAATATTTGCTTCTCTCTATTTTATGAAGTGGCATTTGTATGAAGAAATTTTTTTTCATTTAGGTAAGATACAGGATTCATTGGGTAGATACTTTGAGTTTGGTTATAGGGAAGCTCTAAACTGTAGTCCCCGATTTTATCTTTCTCTGATGTCTGAAGTGGTTCATGAAGGTAGCTGTATGACTTTGCAGTGAGTATAGGGTTCTAAAGGTAAATGAGCTCAAAAACCAGAGTCAGGCTATGGTGCTACTGTGGCTCCTGGCAGCAGCTGCTCCTGTCTTGGTGGTACAGGATGTGGAGAGGCTTTTCCCAAGGAGATGCCAGGCAAGTAAATGTGATGCCAACGGTTGTGTTTCCAGAAGAAACCATCCATGAACCACAGGATATAAAGGTGGGCTTGCTCAGAACTCTCAGGATGAAGGTAGGAGATGCCTGGGGCTGTAGCACCAACAATCCCAGTTCTGAAGCCACAGAGTGGGATGGGACCTTTCCCAGCTAGGTAGTGCTCATTTAATGAGTATGTCCTAGAATATTTGAAGAATCATTCATCCTATGCATCAATATTCAAATATTTAGCAATATTTTAGTCCAACTTTCTTTTTTGAAAGACACCTCTAAAACCCAATAAATAAAAAAGGATGTAAGATTTTCATTTGCAATTTAATTTTTTCATCCAGTAAACACATTATGTTAAAGATCTTCAAAGTTTGTAGATCATGCTTAAGTTCAAGGTAGAATTCAGTCATTATAGGTAATGTCAAAACACATTCTCCTTGATCTGATAGTAAGATGGGCATTCGGGCATTTAGCAGTAGATGGATGGCTGACTTTTGGACCCTTCAAGTCTATCAATCAGTAAGTTTACTATTGTTGTACTAAGCCTGTCAATTTCTCTTGCAGAGAGCACCATGGGAATGCTATGCAGCCCTCTGTCAAGGATGACAGTGGTAGCCACGGCTCCCCTATCAGTGGAAAATTAGAAGGCATCTTCTTCAGCTGCAGCACTGAATTCAATACTGGGAAGCCACCTCAGGATTCACCTTATGGAAGATACAGGTTTGAGATTGCAGCAGAAAAACTTTTTAACCCCAATACTAATTTATATTTTGGGGACTTCTACTGTATGTACACTGCTTATCATTATGTGATTCTTGTTATTGCCCCTGTGGGATCACCAGGAGATGAATTTTGTAAGCAGCGCCTTCCTCAACTAAATTCGAAGGATAATAAGTTTTTGACCTGTACAGAAGAAGATGGGGTGCTGGTTTATTACCATGCCCAGGATGTCATTTTAGAAGTCATTTACACTGATCCTGTGGATCTTTCTCTGGGCACCGTGGCAGAAATCACTGGTCATCAGCTCATGAGTTTGTCTACTGCAAATGCAAAGAAAGATCCCAGCTGCAAAACCTGTAATATCAGTGTTGGACGTTAACACCCACTTTTCTTATTCTTACTCATCCCCTTTTCTTCCACTAGGAGCATTGATCCTCTGTTGTCCATTTTCATCATCAAATGTTTTCCACTGAAGCATGCACATGCCACTATCACCAAAAGCAAACTACCACTTCTCAAATTTCATTCAGAGCTATTTTAGTGTTTCTTATTCCCCACCCTTCCCACTACTTTCAATGATCAAATATCCTAAGTTCTCCTTCTGACACTTTATTTGCCTAGATGCTGCAATGTTTTTATTTTTCCTATATGCCAAACATAACAAGAGAATTACATAGAATGCTTTAGCAAAATACAAAATAATGGCTTATAAGTGGTGTTTAAATATGCATTCATTTTAATCTACTGAACAAATACTGGAATAACTCCAAACGCATGAAGGGTGTAATTGCAGCATGAGTTAAATCTTGAAGCCTAGAATTGTCAGCACTTCCAATTTGTTGTTTGACAGTGTTATTTATGTTATTTATATTAGCTAACAGGAAACAACTACTGTGTTTCAGCATAATAAATATAATAGAAAAATATTTTATTTGTATTGTTGTATAAAATATTTACAATCATATTGAATATGTGGAGTTACATTTTAATAGCAATTGTATACATTGTCATGAAACCATTTCCCTTATCAAAGATGTAATTTGTAAACCTCAAGTAGTTGTGTATCTGTCCTGTTACAAGTGGATGACTTCAATTAAACAAATTTATGAAGGACATTATTCTCATTCATAAAAGTTATAAAATCAGGTAAATACAGAGAAAATAAGCCTCTGAAATAATCTCCTTTTGAAATTATCAGTATTCTCAACTATATGAAAATGTGAATTTCTTCAATATCATGCTTAAACATTACAGAAAATAGAAATACAAACATGATTCATACATTAAAGAATGTCAGCCTTTTGCTTGTTTTTAGAAAACAAAATAAACTTGTTTTAGTACAAAATAACAAAACAATATACTAAAATTGATGAAGCAAATAAAATATTCTAGCATCTTTCCCAAGGTATCAGGGCAAACTGGTTCCAGACTTTTCATTTTGCACAGAATGAAGAATAACTACAGCTCATGAGAAGTGTTTTCACTTTCTGAAGAAGTATAGACATTGGAACATTAAGAAAAATGCATATTCCTGATGGAAAAATAGTTATATATTCTTAGTTATAGTAAACAAAAAGATTAGCAATAATACTATGGTCACATTAGATTATATACTGAAGACACATCTATCCAAAATACCTATTTTAAAATTTTAATATAAACATCTGTCAGTTTTAGACAAAGATAATTCACAAAGTACATGCTGTCAGAATGAACTTTGGTAACCAGAAATGTAAAACCACAAATAACTGATAAAATAATGTGCTATTTTTATATTGAAATTAAAAAGCAGTGACACCTTCTAGTATATTTTAGGATACTGAAAGTCTAACAGACTTAAGGGACAAGCCAGTAGATGTTGTATCACTTGAAATTTCAAATAAATTACTTTCTTACCAGAGGTTTTCCTTGCTATATGAAAAACAGAATCTCTTTTCCTTTCCTGATTTTTAAAAAAATTATGCTCTTTTCCATACATCGACATAAACAATCTTTGGATAGTAAATAAACTTTCCCTAACAAGTGGCCCAAGTATGTGTCATTTAGATTTAAAATACTACATTTTTTCGGCTGGGGATTTAGCTCAGTGGTGCCACTGCCTGCCTCACAAGCAGAGAACGTCCCATGTTTGATCCTCAGTACCCATCCCCAAAATTATATTTTTTTGAAATAATTATATTGACTCAATTTTGTCCTTGGCATGGAGGAAGCTGATTTTTTCCCACTAAGATGGGTTACCTGTTTAATTTTTCCCCATTTAAATCCCTTTCCTTTGGACAGTCCATAAACTTGCTATCCTTTCTTAAAAATAAACTACCACTAAAGTGCTTCCATTTTCAGTACGTCAAAACTACTTAGCACAAAGAGCAATGGAAAAATAAGCTTGATTTTTATGTGGGGTGAAAATGATGGTGATTTCCTAAACCTCAAATAGTTTTGGCCACATCTTGCTTACTGATGAGGACCTCTAATAGTCTCAGTTTGGCTTTTATGTGCTTGTATTCGTAGTACTCATCTGCCATCGGTATCCTATCTTCTTTTTGTGGACTTCTGCAAAGAGAAAATACAATCCATTAGCTCATAATAAATCAAGTCATTAAATGTCCTTCTGTAACTTATATATAAAGAACTGCAGAGTAGAAGCTTCCTCTTCGTTTCTGCATTGTCTTCTTTACCTCCCCGTCACCTTCATTCGCTCTCTCTTCCTTGTTTCTAAATAATAAATACGTCTGAGAATATGAATGTCATAGGTCTTTCGCAGAAAAATCATCCCGAGCTTAGACATACAACAGTGGGCCAAGTAAAAGACCTGAGAAGAAAATGAGCTGGAATCATCAAGGCCTTCAGTCATTCTCCTAATACTTGCTACAGTTCCACACATATGCAGTATTTTCAGCACAAATAGTGAAACTTATTTTTTTAAATGTCATCCTGAAAATAAAACAAATTTGATAACACAAGTAAATCATAAATATATGATTACAAGAAAAACATCTAGTCGCTGGCCATTTTATAAATTTAAAACATTCCCATGCTTCCTTAAAATTATAATACCCATTTCTGCCACTGTGTAGAAGAGTCACTGGGCTGATCCTTAACAGACATGATAGATGAGTCTAAACTACAGTAGTTCTCTTCCGCACATGAATTTTATTAAGACTAGATATATAACTGCATACATTTTTATACATGCAGTCTAACTCCTGCATGCTCTAACATTGTTATCAAGAACATTTACAGTGTCTTAAAAGTTTCAGTCATCTATTTTCATGGTCATTTTACTTTATGGATAGTACCAGTAAAATGTCTTAGGAAAGCAAGATTAGAGTCCACAAATCTTACTCATTCAAAGCTTTGATTTTAGTTGTAATAAATTACTACTTTTGAATATAAATGAAATGTTTCACCACAAGAGGGCATACAACCTTATAACCAAATACTTAAAGGAATATCTGAAGTAGTTTTTTTTAGGAACCACAATGCAGTAGAATGCTATACATAAAACATATTTAACCTCTTTACTTTTTTAGGGTAAACTTCTGGGATTCAAAATAGGTAAAAATATAAATTTATTTAGGGAACTCAAAGATATGAAAAAAATATATGCACATACAGCGACTATTTGTCACACGCGTTAACTAGCTTTAGAATAGTGAAAATAGCTCCCCAAACATTTCCTTGAATGAGATATTTCCACAGAATACCTTCAATTTAAAACAAAAGATATCAGGAACTTTAGTGTAAGTCACACAAATAATAGAACATAGTACAAAGTCACTATCCCAAAGGATGCTTTGCAGGCAAAGGTGTATGAAAGTTCTGTAAAATAAAAATGCACGCAAAAAGAAAACAAGACATGGAAATTTAACTTGCTACTTTGCATTAGATTAGTTATCAAAAGAAATGTAAATAAGTTGGGTTTCTAGCAAAATGGAAATGAAGATTCCAGGTAGAAAACTAAGAGGATTACATCAGAATTGCTTTATGCAAAAATCTTCTCACTTAAATAGGTCCACTCCTAGTGAATACCCCTGGGAACTGAAATGGAAAATCTGCCAGGGACTAAGAGGTAAGTAGACAAAACTTAAATGTTTTAAGTTGCCTTTAGAAAACAGTTCCTCCCCATCAGGGCAATACTTAGGCTGCTAAACCAAAGGAAGTTCAGGAAAGGCAAATACTCAGCAATATCAAGGAGCCATTGTATCACTGATAAATGCTTATGCTCCAAACATCCAAAGTAAGAGTTTAGTCTCGTCTTTGCCACTTAATAACTTTGTGACTTTGGGAAAGTTACACCCTTTTCAAAAAATTTTTAAAGCTGATGTCCCACATTACAGCTGTGGCTTCCCAAATTACCCTAAGAGTCTAATCATTTCAGCTTATAAAACTCATGCTCAGTACAACTAAGTGATTTGACTTACTCTTTTTAGAAGTTGATCAATAACCCTTATCTTTCGATTGTATAATTCTGTTGGTGATACACTAAAAATGAGCAGAAACTGAAGTAATGTTCAAGAAGATTTGAGTTGGCACAGAAAATTAGAGGACAAATACAGGATATAGCTAAACATTCAAGAGGTAGAATAGCAATGAACTTTTGAACAAATCCTGAAATAAAATAATTAGGGTCAGATCCTGAAGTTCAAAGGAGATTAAAATTTAAAGTAAAGAAAAAATTATTATTTAAAAAGTAGGGAACAATTTGTATAACTTAAGAATCTAAAAACAAATTATATGGACTGAAAAATCAAATATATTTGAAGGCTTAAATTCAACAGTATAATAAGATTTATTATGCAAAGTTGGGGATATTTGGATATTTATTTCTTAAAGATTGATGTCATACTTTGTAGCAGTAGCCTCCCAAGTAACATCTCTAATAACAGCATTATCAGAATGTTACACTGGACAAATCCTGAGTCTAAGCCAGTATGGACATAATTTACATTTTGTGTAAGCCCCTGTTCCTGAAAAAAGCATTACAGCACATTCTGAATAGTAATTCTCTGGGAAATATAAGCTAAAGAAATCTACCCACACTCACCTTCCTGTTTGTTTAAAAAACTGTTCTTCAAATTCTCTTAGGGCTTTCCTTAGTCTCTTCTTGTCAGCTCTGGTTTCTCGGAGATGGTCAAGAAGTACAGGCCTATGTGAGGTAAAATATTTATCATTAATAAGTACTAGCATTAAGACTGAAAAGTGTTCTGATCGTAAAAATCTTTTGAGTGAGTATTGCTAACATAGAACCTGTCTGGAGGTACAGTCCATAAGCATGGGAAATTACCTGATGAAAACAATGTCATGGGAAAGGAGAACAAGAAAGACGAGGCAAATGGACTGAGGCTATTTTAGCACTGGTAAGGGTGATGGCACGGTTAGGGGGAGATGCATCACAGACATTTTGAAGGAATAGTTATCAGTATTTGATAATAGATGAAACATAAGAGACACAAGTGGAAGAAAATGCTAATGATTCTGCCTTTAGAGTATGGGGAGAATGGCAAAATCTTGGGAATGAAATTAAGACCCTGAAAAAGCTGTAGTTCTATAGCAAATTTTGCTAACTTTATTCTAGAACCTGTAAATGGTTTCAAAAAATCTCTGAACTATGAAATGATACAGACATTTTCTGAAAAATACCATTACAAAAGTCAGGAATGACTACTTTAGGACAACGACTATTGATAGACGACAGATGAAAATATTTTCTGCCTCCAGATATGTTAGAATTTCTATTTATAATTTAATACATTTGCCTTAACCCTATTTTGGGGCATAAACCTTACCAGGCTAATACATGTTGAAGAAAATCTCTTAATCTGGGATGTGAAGTACAAAAAATCAAAGAAGGCCAAATGGTGAAGAGGAATGCCAGTTACCAAATGTTGATATTAATAAAAATCCAAATTGATCTTCACTGAAGAGCCAAAAAGTGACAAAGAGCAACTCATTTACTTAAGACCAAGGGGATTCCAGAGAACTTATGTAATTTTATCTTACGTGGATGTATCTATCTTATGTAGATGGAATAGAGTAGGATAAAGGCTTTGGCATTTGTTGAGCCATAGAGGGATCGTGCACTACTTTGCCTCACACACTGCCAAGCATTAGATCTGTGCCAGAGCCCTGCTGAAAAGAGTTTGATTCAACCTAATCAAACATTTACATATATGACAACTTGAGGACTTTACTGGGGACTGTGGTTCCTCAGCTATGTCTGCTAGACTCCAGCTAAGAAGTCAATCAAATTAGGGTTTTAGGGCTGCTCTCTCCTGGATAGCACTTTTCAGAGATTAATGGTCCTTCTAAATTTTTGTGTTACATATAGGGTACCCAGGACATTTTGAACTCTTTTAAACTAAAAAGAAATTCCACACTAAGGATTCATACTTACATAGTGGCCTCATGTAAATTAGACATGGAGAGAGCTGGTTGTTTTACTTCTTTCTTTTCATCTGGTATCAGGGCCCTAACAGGTTCTGTCTCAGAGTAGGTAAGGTGGTCACCAACAGGAATTTGAGACCCTGGATCTGGTAAAGGTGGTTGGCTTCCCTGTTGACAGTCTTCATCAGAGTCCTCTTCCTCCTGCTTATCACAGGCAGAGTTAAATAAAGTCACAAAATGCCAAGTACCTCTTGAGAATGGAAAAGCAAAAAGGGAGAAGAACCATAAGTAGATACCATGAAATCCAGTAAGAGACTCAAATGTGTACTGAGAACCAGGATGGAAGTAACCAAGGGCCCTTTTTCAGTTGCATAAAAAAAACAAGAAAACCTGCAGAAGTTAATGAGTAAAAGTGCACTGATGTTGAGCTTACCAAGTTTATTTGTACTTGGTGGGCCAAAGAAGGTACAAAATTATACGGTCCAGTCTGGACTGCCTTTTTTCCCTTATACACAGGTCTTATGGGTTGCTGCTTCATACCAGTGATGTGGGTTACAATAAGACAGATTACAGAGACTTTGTCATGCAGAATATTCCAAGTCAGGACCCAGTGCAGGACTTTCAGAGATACTGAGGATGCTTATAAACTTGAGAAATTCAAAGAAGAGCTCTTTAAAACCAAGGCAAAATGGAGTTACACTTTTAACTTGTTCTGATAATTATCACAACCAAATGATTTTCTTGCAAGTAAATCTGAAAATCCTATTCCACTTTAAATTATGCTTTCTCATGGGAAAATTTCAAAGACTATGAATTATTATTCTTTTAATATATTTTAAAGTACAGAAATATAAATTTATATTTATATTTAACATGTATTCTTTTTTTTTCCTGCTACCAGGGATAAAACTCTGGAACTTGCACTTGCTAGGCTGGTGCAGTGCCCTGAGCTACATCCACGGCCCCCATTTCTTCCTTTTTATATTGATATCTTGAACAAGTGACTGTTCTGATACTGACAGAAATGAATTTAATGTATTTTTATAGTTCTACATTCCCATAAATCATTCTTCATTAAAAGTAGCCTAACTCAATTTCAGTTTTCCTATTGTCTACTGGAATAAATCTATTCCAATACAGTGTAGTCATATGATGCCAAAACAAAATGTTACATTACATCAAGGAAAAAACTATTTTCTTATTAAAAGAGGAAAATTAATGAACACACAAAAATCAAGAGGTTCTGTGTTTGTCTACCTGTGTTATAAATTACACAAGACCAAACTGAAATCTATCATTTTTTTCTCCTCACAAAGGGTACTGAAAGCAAATTTTAAAACTGGCTTCAAACACAGAAGTGCTATATTATATATTTCTGTTTCACAATAGTTCTAAATGCCAGTGACTGGGGCTAAGAAAGGCCAAATGTTCCCTTTTTGAAATAATAACTGGTATTGTTAGTGACACACATGGCCAAGAAAATTACTTTATAACTCTCATAATACTAACTATGACATTGTGCTAACTAAACACCAATACAAAGCAGGTTACCATTTAATGCAATTATCCTGACTTACAATTGTTGGTATAAGGGAAGGCGTTGACAAGATTTGCTTGATAATTCTGTATCGATCATAAAGGGGCTTTATGAGGTTCTTGTCTTGCTTAGTTACCTGAAAAACATGAAGTAAATTATTGTTCCTTTCTCAGAATGAAAACTTGTCAGTATTCTTAGCAGGCAAGAAAGAAAAGTCTTTAAGCCTCTAAATCTTGACACTCAGCTGATACTATCTGTACTGTATATAGTACATGCCAATTTTTCTAGGAAAAATTACTTTAAGGATAGGTCTAAGTTAGGAAAGTTGAGTTTTATGGCTTTATAGAGGAGTCTGTAAAGCATAAATAATATGAAAACTCCTTTGTGCATTCTTAAACCAATGAGTGATCAAAAATCTATTATTTTGTCTTTCAAAATACCCATTCCATCTGGAATTTCATGACATTCACAAACACCAATTGTGTACAGGTCTTCATAAATACATACATGGATTAGATTATCCATTAGCTCTGATATAAACTGTTACTCTACGCAAAACATTTAATTCCTCTTCCTTCCTTTGATTTTTCTCCCCACTGTACCACTGTGTATGTAATGGTCTATATATTTCCTATAAACAGTCTCCCTGTAATTGTAGGCCAATGGTTTGCACTAAGCAGGTAGTGGGAAGGGAAGGGCAGAAATAACTCATAACATCACCCAAGTATCTTTTGAAAAGTACACACACCCAAGAACGCTAAATAGCCCTGCCTTCCAAATGTTCCAAAGAGACTCCTGAGGGAAAAGAAAATGTCATGAGCATGTATTAAGCCTGCCAGTTATACTGGTGCCACCCTACCCCATGTACAATTACGAAGGAGGGAGAATTCATTTATTTCCATGGCATAACGCCACCCTCTGAGCAGAAGTGATTATCTTTTAAACAACCACAGATAAAAGGGAAAGGTAATGCTTTTTCAGCTTCAGTATGGACTCTAAGCATCAGTGCAAAAATCTCAGAAAGCAGCAGAATAAAAGTCTTTCCTGAAAATAAATCATGCTTCATTGTAGAGGTTTTAATACTTATTGTACTTTTAGCAGTATGCAAGGTTCCCAAATAAAAGTCATCTGTTAATTTGAGTTTAAAGTAATGGGATGTAATGAGATGATCTGAAATACTACTTAGTGTATTTCACAGGCAGCTATAAGACTAGCTTCCTTGGAAATATATGTTTTCTTGTTTTATTGTAGCCTTAGGACTGCTCTCTTACGACCCACCTCATGTCTGACTAGTCACTACGTGGTTTACTATGGTAAGTTCTCTCAGAAACAATGCCGCAGCTTAGTACATGGAAGCTTACATATTATCTGACACTTGTTCAGTGAAAATAATGGAAATCATTGCCATTTATACAAGGATGATTTCTAAAGCACTCAGAGATTTCCATCTGACCCTCATAGACTTGTACGTTCCTATTTGACTTAGATGCCTCAGAAAGACAGCCCACCACCTCAGTTTGCCTGGACCTGAGGCAGCTAAGTAAACTCTTCTCTGAGGTTCAGTTTACTCATGGTAAAATACAGACAATACTTATATAATTATTGTGGCAATAAAGGAGATGACTGGTGACTGATGAACAGATGTTGATTTGCAAAAAGATGCTAGGCATAAAAAAAAGTCATGACAGGGTCACTGCCATGGAGTTCATTGTTCTCCTGGGAGTTGGGATACAAGAAATAAATAACAAAGTCACTAAAGATTTTGATAAGCACTTCGAAGGAAAGTGAACAGGAAAATCATAGAAAACAATGAGTATGTTTTCTTCCTTAGAGTGATTGGGAAGGCCAAAAAGTGACGTTAATGAATAAAATTAACAGGCCCAGAAAGTCACAAGCAAAAGCATGAATTCCTTGAAAGAAGGAAGAGGCTATTGTAGACTTGGAATTCTTAGGTCTGAGTGTTGGCATAGATAAAATCAAAAGGTAAATTAGGTCCCATCTTACATGACCTTTTAAGCAGAGAAATGTTGCCAAGTGGTTGTAAGCAGAAAAGTGAAATTAAATGATGCATATTAAAAGATCTTTGATTACTGTGTGATATATCATAGGGGGCACATGTAGAAAAGGGGAAATAAAATGACTGGCTTGAGTATCATGGTGGCATTGGATGGACAATACTGGATGTACTTAAAGTATACAGTATTTTGATTAAAATAAAAAAACATGTTTAAGCACTGAATGGGAAAAAGAAGAAAAGGAAGACTCCTCAATGAGAATGAGTCCATTTACTGACACTGAAAACTATAGAGGAAAAGATTTTGAAGGGAATAAGAACTTAAGAGGTCTATTTGGTACACATTTGATTTAAGATCTATGAGGAAAAGTGTAACCAACCATCCCACTTAGGACAGACTGAGGTTGTCCTGGTTTGGGCACTTAGAATACCATGTCCTGAGAAGTAGAGAGGATGAGGAAGTAGCTAGTCAAGGAATGAGGCCTGATCTAAGTCTGTAAACCAATTCCAACGCTCTACTTACTGCCCTGATAAGTGAATAGCGTAACATTAGGACTTTGTTACTAATCAAGATGCTTTTATAGATCTGGACAAAGAAACTAAAACATAAGAAAGACTGTCAAAGTTATTAAAGCATAAAAACACAGATATGCTGGGGTGTATGTGTGTATACACAGATGTTATGAAGTGGCTATCCTAAAAGTCTACCATTTGAGTGGGGGAAGGAACAGTTTGTCTACATGGGTAAGAACCTTATACTCACTATTCATAATATATATTGGTGGTTTTTAAACTTTAAAGGTATTTCATAATGATAGATGTGGCCATGGGCCATTTCTACTTGCATGCAACAAGTCCCAAAGTAAACAACTAACTCAGCATAATGTGAGCCTTCTAGAATTTGTATATATGTTGCCAGATTTTAAAGACTAACAATGTACAGCAGAATACACAAAAACATTGTTCTCAAGAAGACATCATTACAAAGACTTCATTCCAAAAATGTATCAAATTGTTCATCTGTCCATTTATGCAGCAAACATGTTTTTAGTACCTACTATGTACAGACATTATAGGATCATGAACAATAACTAGTCTTTCTATAGAAGTTTAAAGTGTAAGGATAGGAATCCCAATGATAAATGTAACTGCACTGTGTTCTTAAACAGTACCAATAAATTCAATGAGAAAAGTAACATAAAAAAGTGTAAGGATAGGGAATGACATATAAAGTAGATACAACTCTTATTCAGGAACTAAAAGGAAACTACACCAGTCTTAAATTGATGGAAAGGACAATATAAAAGCTTCCCTGTTATTAAGAGAGATGGAAACATAGACAAGAAGGAGAGGGGGATTAGCCAGATAATCATATTTTTCTTTGTGAAATACAATAAATCTTTTGTTTAAAATCCAGGCTCAGTACCTAACTGACAATTCTCTCTGGTTGTCTCCCAGAGATTTCAAAACTAAGATGTCAAAAGCCAAGATCTTTTGTTCAATATAACATTCTGTTATAAACTGTATTATGTTTTAACATATGAACTCTAAATAGAGCTCTGTCCTTTCAGATGATATACTCATCCCCTAGTCTTGGATTCATTTGCCAATTCACAGTGGAAGGAAAATTGGGAAATAAAGGAATATGGCATATCTCTGTGTCTTGCCAATTGATTCCTACAAACATGTCATACTATAACCAACAGAACTGCCTCACAACATGGAATCATGAGGCCACATCCATAGGTCATGGCTATTAACCCACCAGGAACTAATCTGGCTAAAATTTGGAGCCATTTTCCTAAATATGTTTATGTAGTGACCGTGCGCTCTGATGAACTGGTGGAAAGCATGATCTCACTGTCACTGTGTCGGGTATTGGGGCCTGTGATGATACGATGAAGTACCTTAGACTCCTCCCGGGGAGGGAAATGCTCTCTCTTCTCCTTTAGGCATGTCAACACAGCATCAGAAGTCTCCTCCCCAGAAGAGCTTGGCTCAGGGCCCGTAGCTTCAGGCTTCCCATTTTCTCTTGGAACTGTGGGTTGCTCACAGGACAAGCTTCTCAGAGGGCCTTTAGGAGCACTTCCTTGTTCTTCTGATAGCTTCAGCTTTAGTTCTAAGAGAAATGCCATGAATTACCTTGAGCAAAAAGGACCCACTAGACTTAATAAAAACAGAGTCTCTCAGTAATTCCCTCCACCAGTGCCAAATTGGTAGAAATGAACAATGCTAAAACAAATTTTTATGGGGCAAGGGAAAGCTCAATAACCATGAACCACATCATAAGCACTGAATCAGGTACAGAAATGGAGCTCTAGAGCCTGGGGTCCTCATGGAGGCGTAGGAGCATGCGTGGTAGGAACTCGGTTTAGTTCTGATGGAAGAGATCTGGGGGAAGACCAGTGGTGCCTGACCTCAGAGTTTCTATCTGTAGTAGCACCTGAAATTCTACACTCAGTTTTATTAATGTAAAATTTGCAAGTTGTGAATTTATCAAAAGCCCCCATGGAAACACAATACTTCTGGAAAGCATTACATATGCAGACACCCAAGGAAATATGGGACAGGGGGGATGAAAATACCATCCCCAACTTGATAGATTAACAGTTTTGTATAATGTCAGTTTTTAAAATCTAAGAATCACCTTTATTGCAATGTGTGGCATAGAAACTTAGATAATTAAAACTTTAAAAGGCCACTGGGGACTTGTCAGTGAATTACATATCAGAAAATGCTAGGGTACTGGTTGTTTGAGGCCATCTATATTGATTCCTCAATTACATAGCTCATTTTCTTTGATTTTTTCTTGGTTGGACTCTGGCTTGATATTTAAACACTGCATATTTTATAAATGCACATCATTACAGCTTAATATTGCTGAATTAATATTCCTTTCTAATTCTTAATCATTATCCTTCTAGAAATTTGGAAATATTCCATGTCCCTGAGTATTGAAATTAGAGTATGGATGGAGGAACAAAATAATTGATAAATAATGATTGTATCTTAAAATGTATTTTAGAGTTAATTAATGCAACATCATCCACAGCGAGGGACAGAAAAAAAGATTGGACTGAGACACAGAAGAAACAAAATGTATATGCAGCTTACCACCTCTATGCCTCATAACTTTCCCCTCCGGCCATAAATGCCCTCACCTTTACAATGGGATATGGGAAATAAATGATTTCTCATACCTATTTTGTTTCTACTACTACAGATCCAATAACAGGAAAGTTAAAGCTCCACAGGTTGAAGTGTCCCTAGATTTGAGTGAATCATTCTAGTTGGAGGTTGAAGGTGCTCAGTCTTTGTGTAAGGAGGTTTATGAAGAGAGGTTTAACTATGAAAGTGATCCACAGCCATTTGTTTTAAGTTAGGCCTCCAATGGAAGCAAAAAGTTGAGTTTAAGAGGGCCCAGGTGGAAATGAGTCAAAATGCCCTGGAGCAGACTATACTATTTTAACTGCATCTTACTGAGAAAAGAGACCTTTGGCTGGCATTTACCTTTGAGCTGTTTACGACCTTTAGCCAAATCATTCATCCATTTCAGTACTTCAGGATTAGAAGTCTTGTCACCATGTGAAGGCTACCAAGGGGGGTTGGGGGGAATAGAGGCAGAAGGAAGGGAAAGGGAGGGAAAGAAAGAAAAGGAAAAATAAAACTTTTCAACAACCAAGCCACACACTGAAGCTGATGGAGTTACTTCTGGAAAACATCAGACATACTTGATCTTCCCCACAGTTTTATCCTTGTCATGGAAATCATCATCATCATCATCATCTTATTATTATTGTTATTATTATTACTATTATTATTATTATTATTTGGTACTGGTGATCAAACTTGGGACCTTGCGCTTCTGAGGCAGGCAGCAGAACCACTGAATTAAATCCCCAGTCCTCACAGGCATTACTTTTAAACATGCTTGATCACCCAGTATTTTCATATAGCTCTAGCGGTGCCAGCATTCCCCACCATCTAACCCTCCATCACCTTGCAGGCTACCCACACTCCACACCTCTGTTCTCAGATCAATGATAATGCAAACTATTGCTTCCTACTTTGCCTGTGGCTCTCATACTTGATATTCGAACATAACCTGAAGGAAAATGCTGACAAACCTGGACATTTACCGCCTAACAGCCATAATCCTACAACCTGAAGGAAGGAGAAACCAAACCTGACAATAGTGATAGGAAGTCATCAGTCTGTTAAGGAGAGAGCAGATTTCTAATCCTCTCACTGTTTATAAACTCAACATGCTACTGTAGCTCGCATTAAAATCAAACAATCATATTGGTGTGAACTTGACAAATTATGTACCTTTTCTGTATTTCATAGTTCTATGTGAGAATTAAGATGCCATGATGATATGTGTATTTTAGTGACTGAATGTAGGGCTCTTTCATATTCCCTTAGGGTGGTCCACTAAATCCATGTAACATAAGTGGCAGGCATCGGAAGATGGAAAATATGTTCAAGTTTGAAGGAAAAACAGTACTTGCATTTTAAAATTATCAAATGTACATAGAATTAAGTATTCACACTGTGGAACACATGGAAGAGCTCTAGAGCAGTGTAAAAACTATACATTTTAAAATCAGGATGGGAAGAAAATAATGATTCTCAGGGAAGGTTGGACAATAGACTATGGCTTCCACGAAGAGGCCTTCATTTCAGGACCGCGGACAGCAACACATGCTCATGCTCTGCTCACCTCCAAAAACTGACTTAGTCTGGTCCTACCCTACATTCTGCTAGAATGATGCGTCATACTGATTCCTGACTTTGAGTAGCACTGTCGGTGTTTTACTGTTTTGTTTTGTTTTTTTCCTGAGTCCTCAGAATTTTAAACTCTAAGAATATATCTTGCTGAACAGTGATTTATTAGGTTTGTCCCAAACAGGTAATTCTGCTTTGGGATTTTTGTTTCTTTGTTTGTTGTTTTGTTTTTGTTTTTGTTTTTTGGTACTGGGGATTGAACTCAGGTCCTTGTGCTTGCAAGGTAGGTGGCGACACCACTAAGCTAAATCCTTGGCCCTCTATGTTTTATAATATGTTAAAAAATACAAAGGAACATTAAAAAAAAAACCCTAAGCCCCTAAACAAATGATTAATAAAGAAGTGACCTTTTATCACTGCACATAGGATTTCAGAGAAATTTAAGGCTGAATTTTCTGATAAAGTAATATTCCGAAATCAGTTTCAGATATGAACTTCTTATTTCTCTATGTTAGGGGAGTTTTTAAAAGAGATTAAATCAAGCTTTCATGGATGGCAGCTCTCAAATCAGATGAAAGTTTTCATATACCACCTGGAAAACCTACAAACCAGCTTTGTAACTTCTGTACTGAAATATTTTGGATTAATGAACTAAAACAGTCAGACACCTAGAACTTGTAGAGTTTAGGTTTGCTCAGTGCAATTAAGATGGGGCACCCAAGCCATATAACTGAAGATACAGAAGAAGCAGATCTGTGGTCTGCCAAAGATGGTTCGTAAGACAATAAGAAAGATTTCAGCATTGGTAATGACAAGATCTGAATTTCTGAATTGTCTTGACTAGATTTTTTTTTTTTTTTTGAGACAGGGTCTCACTATGTAGTTGAGACTGAACTGGAACTCACTATGTAGCCCAGGCTGGTCTCGAACTCACAGCGATCCTCCTTCCTCAGACTCCTGAGTGCTGGGATTACAGGCATGCGCCACCATGCCCAACTTAGATTAATTATTTGCTGTGCAGTTCTTTGTCACTCAATTCCACTTTCAGGGCCTCAGTTTCTTCCCTTGTCTAACAAGAAAAAAGACTAGCTGATCCATTTCAGTTCTAACCTTTTCTGATTCCAACTGAAAGTAGACATCTGACTGAGACAGACTTTTTTAAGCACATGAGCATGGTAATCCAGTATGTCAGGATAAGCACAGTTCGGGATAGGGATATAAAACAGTTACATTCAAAAGAGATGCACAGACACCAGAATAGCACAGAAGCTCTGCAGGAGCTTGGATTCAAAAATTAGCACTGGGTGCTATTAATTCCACAGTCAAGCTGCCAGGAAGGGAAATTTTATACACAGCAGCTAATTAAAGCCCACTGACATATCAAAACTCCAACTACTTCCTGGCACCCTGACAGAAAGGGCAAGGGGAAGCGTCAGTTCCTAGGACATGTAAGGTTCTGTTTACATTCAAGGACTCTTAAACACACAGACACAGCAGTAAACATGAACCTCTTTCGCCCTCACCCCAGTGTTTATCCTTCTGCAGGTATTTAAGTGTGTGTGTCTGTTGGTCTGTTTGTCTCTCTGCTCTTGCTTTAAATATTCTCTATACAAAGACAGGAAGTGCCAGAAGAACTGAAATTCTCTTCCAAAATGGATACCTGCTGGGTCACCGTTACCGTTGAGAGAAATAATCCAGGATCTGTGGCTACAAGAGGAAAATTTCCTTTCAGTTTTTGACAAGGTAGAGATGCCATGGATTAGCTTATTCAAATATTGCTCAAATAGATTAAAAAATTATTCAGCCAAACACTGAAGTAGATTGTATATTCACTCTCGTTTAATGCCTTCAAACTTAAATCATACCGATATTAACCCCACTTTACAGATGGACAAACTGGGCTCAGAAACATGAAATAAGAAGTCCAAATTCACAGTATTCCCAAATGTCTGCTGGATTCACATCTAGAGCACTCTGACTCAATTACTGCCAGGTAGGAAGTGTTAACAGGCCAAAGATGGAGGCCTGACTTGTTACTCTAGAGTCCAAAGAGAGGGTAACCCAGACCTAATGACACACCAGTGGCAAACAAAATCAACTTCTTTCAGAATATATGAAGCTTTCAAAATACAGGCATTAAAGAATTTTACTTCCTCTCCTCCACTGTAAAAACTTCTCATCTTTAACTCACTGCTTAAAGCCTGAGGAGACAGAGCACAACCACCTTAGGCAACTTTTAAGTCTTCACTGGGCCTCAGTATCCAAGTCTGTAAAGGCCTAGAGAATAATGTGTAGAGCTCAGCTCCCTCCTGCTCCAGAAAAGACAGTAAGTATCTACGACTGCCTGACTTTGGGGAAGAGAAAAATCTTCAGCAATCTGAGGTTTCCTTGAAAGTGAACATGATTTTTTATTCTATTTTTCAAGGCTAAAAACCACTCCTTAAAACCATTTATTTAGTGAATTTGAGGCCACACAGGACAGAAAGAATGGAAGAGTGGGATAGTACCGGCTCTTAGCTACCCCAAACTTATTAGAGGCTCATAGGAACTTTCTGATTGCCTCTGTACCAAGTGCTTAGTGAGCCTTTAAATATTTCAAGATGTACGAGAGATTGTCCCCTGTTCTCTTTTATTCTAATAACAAGCTGTTCTGGGCCCTCTGCCAAAGAACTAATATATTTGTGCAATTCTACATGAATATAATTTTTCTCTATTCTATGATCACCACAAGAGAAAATAAATAAAAGTAGTACTGTCCTTCAAGGCACTTACCTATGACTCTATTGTTAAGTGAGAAAAGACAAGGCTCATGTGGGCGGCACCAAAAGAACCAGCTCAGAGACTGGTGCTCTCTGATGGGAGAGGTTGGATCAGTTTGTCCTTATGCATGGCCTAAACAGATGTCACTTAGAAATTATTGCCACTCATCAACAAGCCAGTACTTTAATGTCAGAGAAACTAATTCTCCCTTATTATACTCCTCAATTCGGGATTCTGCCCATGAGGTCTTCATCAAAATGTAAATGGAAAAAGGTTAAAGAAGAGAGATCAGGAACAGGGATTTAGCTCAATGGCACTGTACCTGCCTCACAAGCTCAAGGTCCTGAGTTCCATCTCTGGTACTAAATAAATAAATAAATAAATAAATAAATAAATAAATAAATAGACAAAGAGAGACCATAGTTCAATAGCTTTGCAAATTTGGTCCTAGAAAAACTAGTGATAGTAATATTCCTCAAGGAAGAAAAGGAGAATGGATAAACACATAAGTTTATAAACAAGAGTCATCACCCATTACGAGGAAATATCTTAGCAGAGATAAACTGACAGAATATGAGAACAAGTCAGACTCAGAACAGGAACTCAACCTTGGTCCTTGTTTGGATGGTGGGAAAAGAACTGTTCCCTGCCAAAGAGGGGTCCCCAAAAAGGAAAACCCATACACCCCTGACATCATCTACTTTTAAAATAAACCCTAGAGTCCTTACCCGATACTTCTTTTCTTGTTCAAATTTTTCTTCAAATTTCCGGATTTTCCGCTTGAGATTCTGGATGTGCTTGGTGAGCTGCGCAATGGTCTGAGGCTCTTTGCCATCACTACAGCTGCACCGTGAAGAACTTCGGGGCCTGCCAGGAGTCCAGGAGGGAGAGAGCATTAAGAATAGTCTTGAATAACAGTCTTGAAGTGATCACTACTGTTTGGTCTGTAAACCAGGATGGTTTGAAGAGTCCAGAGCACAACCCATTAGCAGATGAGTCTACCCAGTGGTATGTGCTCTTCAGAGGAGACACCTGATCTCAGTACTATAATACAGGCAGGATGTCATCAGGAACATTAATATACAAATATCAGAATATTAGGAAACTTATTGCTCACAGATTAGAGAGGCCAGTTTAACACTTAAAAGAGACAGAACTGCTGAAGTGTTATGTTTGATAGGTGGTACCAGCCACGCCTCTCAACAGTTTCAAGGAAGACTTCAAACAAATAGTTAATTTTTCTTGACATAGGCTTTTCAAATGTGATAAAAGAAATGGCCCCTTCTGCAGAGAATGTGTATGCCTTCTCACTTGACACTCATCTTACATGATAATAATTCGTTAACTCCCACAATTCCACCAGTGAATGGATAGTTAAAGAATGCAGATTTGGATAAACCAAAGAATAACAGCATGAGTTAGGAAGGAGAAACAATGGATTCCCTAGGCACATTTTTACCAATGGATTCTCAACCCCATTATCCAGGAGACCCAAATATAAAGAACGCATAGTCTAATCCCAAATGAAGTGTGGAGGGGAGCAGGAACCCGACTTGAGACAGTTAGATAATAGGAGGTAGGTAGGTAGGTAGATAATAGATAGATACATACATAGACAAATCTCTATTTAGCTGGAGAGACAGCTATTGTAAGCCACCAATTTTCTAGAATCTAAGACCAAAGAGAGGTGTACAACTCTCTGGTGTTCCCATAATCATTCAGGGGATTCCATTGTTGGATATGGGGAAACGCCGAGCTAATTAAGAGCAATACTTGTGACATTTGCATATACACATACTTAGAATTATGATTACTCCACCAAAAATATGCAAGCCTTTGGGGTAGCCTATCTCTTAATGACCATTTCCTCTTATGGCATTAAATGCTCAAGCAGCATTTCCAACTAGAAGGTTCACCAATATCTGCCTTCTTATTCAGGTCTTGCAGGTGCATTTGGCAGATACATTCACACTGCTTCAGAGACATCTCAGTGTAGGTTGGAAATGTGGTATTTGAAAAGCAGGATTAAATAAGATAGATAAGGTTTTCCTACATCATAAACTGCTGAGTGCTGGGTGGAGAAGGTGCTGACTCAGGGTCTAAGTTGAATCTCTGACTTTGGCTGAAGATGGAGCATCGGGGTGACAGCAGGGGGTTATCTCCATCGGTGATGTGACAGAGCAGCCTGCTGGTCCCCACAGACAGGTCTTCTGGTATGCTGTCAGCTTCCTTTTGCCCATCTCTGTGGGTTGTCATGGAGTCTGGGGAAGCAAGAGAAATGATCAAGACTTAGAAGTGACACAGGGCTTGAGACTGTCGTGTTCCTAAATAAAGATCATACCCATTCATTATAATGGCTTGCCTCTTTGTCGTTTTTTTCCTTCTGGGGATAGGAATAGCGTTTGAAAACACTGTCATGCTTTGTCTCACAGATCCTGGATAAAAAATATTACAAAGCCACCAACAACAAAAAATGGAAACAAAATATTTTGGTATAAGTTATTCAGTCAGCATAGCTCAAAACTATAAAACTCCTCTTTATTTCATCGTATTTGTCATATGGCCTCCAACATGTGGAAAATGTTACAATGAAGAAAAAGAAAACAATAAAATAGAGCTGGAGCAAAAGATTGTAGATTATTAGGGAGAAAAAGAAAACTGAATTAGCAGTGAAGGGAGGTAATAAAGTGGGAAGGAGGAGAAGAACAAAAGAAAAGGGGAAGAGAGAGAAGTCACTCTAGAGAGAAAATTATACAGCTGCCCTCAAAACGGATGGAGAACCTTGCTTATCAATGTGAAATGATGGTGAGAAATGCTAAACAGAAACCACAGTTTCAAAACAAAACAATATAAAGAGCATGCATTCATACGCACAAGTAAATGTATTAAATGGTCAGAGGTTACATAGTACATAACTACAAAGTAGGCAGAAGTAGGAACAATTCCATTTTCCCCAAAAGGGTTATGCAACATTTTACTTCGGATAAAACAACAAATTCCACTCCAAATATACTCTCCAACTGGACAGCTTGGTGCTTGAATTATCACTATGATCACTCTTCTTGAAAGTCACCTCATTGGAAGCTAGATGTGGTGCCAGATGTCTGTAAACTCAAAATGCCAGAGACTGAGGCAGGAGGATTTCAAGTTTGAGGCCAGTCTGGGCTACAGGGTTACTTGAAAAGCTGGATACCCCTGCACTGTGGAGGTGAGCACGGGAAATGAGGTGTGCTGCCAAAGAGACATAACTCACTGAGGATGGCCAGGATAAGGGTCCCTCCATCCTGGGATCTGGACAGAGTTGCTCAAGAAGTAATTCAGATAAAAACCTCAATTTTTGCCTACCAAACAAGTCAGGACAACTTAAGGCTTTCTCTTCTGTACTTCCCTAAAGACGGTAGAAAACAAAGACTTTCTGGGTGAATAAGCATTTCCAGAAAATACTGACAATTCACTTTTCCAAAATAAACATTTATCACAATTTAGCACCAGATAAATCTTAATCAGATTTAGAATGGCTCCTTGTTCTCTAGAACTTGAAATGTAATTTGCTTCGTTCAACATTCCAGGTCAGGTTAGGTGCACCTGTGTTTTCACTTGGCCTGAAAACACCTCCCTGACGGGTTGTACACTGAGGGAAGATAAGACTTCTTTTTGTGCCTCTGAAGCCCACTGCATCAGCAGATAAAGCTGGTCAGAAATGGACATGGTGAAAGCAGTACCTAGGCTGCAGTGTGGTGACAGCCTGAGGAGTAGTAGGAATAAGAATTATTAACCAGTAAATCATATCATCAAACCCTTTCCTTAAATCATCAGACTCTAAGAAGAAATGAATTTTATTCATGTTACCTGTTTTATTTTCAGCATCTTCTGGTAATAAGAATCAGAAGAAATAATCAGAAGAAAATAATCTTTAGCAAGAACCTGGGACCAGAATATGCTTATTAAAGTGAGAGACATCTAGAGATCTTCAAACTCCAGCTAAGCTGTAGCCCTCGGTAAAAATTAACATAGTCTCTTGTTGCTGTTTTCTACAAGATGCCCAAAGGAGGCACTTGGGTTCCTAGTACATCATTGCAAAGCAGAGGTTGAAAAAGACCAGGAAACCCATGGACACCTAAGGTATAACTTTACAGAATCATAGACAGCTATGAATGGCTTTAAAAACTATATTGTAATAATAATTGTAAATCTCTATTTACATGGCATCTGTTGTCTATGAATACTACATAATTTACCAGTGCTGCCTAATTTACATCCAAACCTCATTTCCCTCCAACCCACTCTTGAAGGAAGCCACAGCCAGAAAGATCCCCAAGCAATCAGCTGAAAAGCAACAGAGTCAAAAATTGCTAACTTGGTAGAGCCTCCATTCTTTCTCCACACTCACCGTTTGAGTTGAGAAGGCATTTAATTAAATCAGCTGGCGTGTGTATTTGTGTGTGCATTTGTATAGACAGATCATTGAGTTCTTGGAAGAAGTCAATTCAGATTCAGAGCCAGTGCTGCAGCCACCCTGGGAACAGGGCCCAGGTCACAGCTTCCAGACTCTGATCCCTGACAGGAGAAGCTTATGGCAATGCTAAACTCAGGTGGCTTCCAATGGTTCTCTGGGGCACATAACTTCATCTTGCAATGGAAGGGTAAGCTGTGCAGGGCCAACAGTGTGATGCACTATGGTTTAGAGGAAGGGGCTTGCAAGCCAAGAGTCTGGTATGCTTCTTCTGTGGGGTTCCAGCCAATTTCTCAACATGTCTGGTTGCTTATTTGGCCTGTCTCATTCAAAGGGCTATGCAAAAAATAAGAGGTCTGCTGTACATGTGCCTTTAGGTAACAATACTATATTATACACTAAAAATGGTTAAAAGGATAGCTCTCCTGTTGAAATCTCTTGCTGCTGCAACAAAAAGTTGTTCATATTTTCTAATATTTCTGCAATAAATATATCTTAATTTTATAGAAAGGAAAATACAATTAATATAAATTTGGGGGGGAGTATTCTTGGGAAGGAAAGTGATAAAATATTTCAGTTGAAGAATAATACAGAGTAAAGATTATAAACCTTGAATGCTAGATCTATAGGCTAAGAGAGACTTGGAAAATGATGGTCCATTTAAACCTCAATTTCAGCTGGGCGTGATGGTGCACGCCTGTAATCCCAGCACTTGGGAGGCTGAGGCAGGAGGATCGCTTTAAATTCGAGACCAGCCTGGGCTACATAGTGAGTTCTAGGTCAGTCTCAACTATGTAGTGAGACTCTGTCTCAAAACAAACAAACAAACAAACAAACAAAATCAAAATAAACCTCAATTTATTCATTACTAAACATGGAGAATTATGATGCACACCTGTAAGACTAAATAAGGATGAAATAAAAATGCAAACCTACAAAATTTTTATCATATCCACAAAAACCTATTATTGCAGTATGTATGTGTACATAGTTTCAGTTTGTATTTTTATATCAACTTCATACAAAGTAATGATGACCATGAAGTCATGAATTTGATTGCTATTTTAAACTAATAAACATTAAAAATTTCTCTTAAAATTGACAATGAGCATTCATGCATCCCTTATGTAGCATACTTTGTGAAACATTAGGATAAGGCATAGAAACAGGTGAACATAGAGTCCATAACAACAATCATATTTTTTTTTTTTTTTGTACTGGGGATCAAACTCTGGGCCCTTTCTCTTGCAAGGCAGGTGGTGGAACCACTGAGCCAAATCTCCGGCCCCCATTACTTTAATATTATCAAAATACATTAAATAGGTTCCCCCACAGGAGCTCCTATGGAGGTGAACATGAGAAGTGAGAATCAATATATATCAACATCTTAACATCTTATCCCTCCTTATTTATAAACAAGAATAATAACTGTATTTAATATTTATGGAGTAACTAATTCTGTGCTACTTATTCTGAGAGTTTTTGACCTATGTAAACTTTGTACCAACAAGGTAAAGTTGGTTTTTAAATGGTTTCCACTTTAAATTCAGCAAGAAGTTTGTATAACCACACTAATGCCATTCAGAAAAGCTTCGACCAGTGCCTGCAGCAGAAGACCACATCTCTAACACTGGACGCTGAAGTGTGGCTGGCAGTCCATTCCCTGGGCAGTAGGTAGCTGGAGAAGAGAAATGGTTATCATCAGTGTGTGAGGCCAAGAAACCTCTTCTGATTTGGCTGCAGCTCCAGGCAGAAAGAGATATGACATTACAGATGTTACATGAGCCAGTCAAATTTAAAAGTTTAACTTTCTGATGTGAGTTTTTAAACCAGTTCAAAATTTAAATCCATTCCATTCTTCAAAAACTGAGGCGGGACTGACAAGATTTAACTGAGCAGATTTGTTAGTTTGCAGCCTATCTTGGATTTGCCTATCATGGTGGACTTGTAGGAAGCAGTGAGATATATTCCAAAATGCCAAACTACTGGTTCTAGAAGCTAAATGAGTCAAAAGCATGTCCACGATTTGTATGAGGTTCAAGCATCAGAGTTCTCACCCTGTCTCAGGACAGATACCAGAGCAGGTGATAATGTCACACACACAAAGAGGGTTGTGAAAACAAAAACAGCTCCCAAAACATCTGATTATTGATATATGGTGTATTCTATTTTAAGTCTGCTAAATTTGAGCCTCAAAGGTACTATAAGGAACAGTTGGCTTCAGGGTAAGAGAGAACGGGTAAACTTGAAGTTATCCCAATAACTACTGCTGGGGAAACAGAGGAACCTGCCTGAGTACAGACCACTGAGAGAGGAAAAGGTCATCATTCTGGTAAAATGACAGCGGAAGTTAGAGTAGGTAAAAGGGGAGTCTGGGTTGGGCTGACTGACCTAGCAAGGAGAGGCTAGCACTCCAAGCAGGCTTCTAGGTGCCAGCTTCCACGGAGGACACTAGAAGTATTAGGGAGTTGAGGGATGGGAAATTTGTCACCAAGAAAGCCGAGCTGGGCTTCGAGACAGGGACTCTGTAGCTCCCAAGAGGCACTTTGCCATCATAAATAAAAGTATGTGCTATGGGCTTGGACCTAGATGGAAGTCCTACTTTTGTTTTCTGTGAAAGTAGAGACACGGCACTTGATCTCTTTCAATCTCAGTATATTTGAAATTATCAAGGGAAATGGCCAGTGGAAAATGTCTGATCTCTGAGAACAGCTTTTCCCTCCCTGCACTACCAAAATGAAGCCAACTGCTTAGATAACAATCAAGCTGAGCCACGTCCTGCCTGTGCTATGTGGCTGGTGAAAGACT